AACCATAAGGCAAGAGCGGGTCCTTTATTTATTTGATTTAGCTGCTTTAGTGTGAATGATTTGGATGATTATGGATGCGATGATTGAATCTGATTGAATTTGATTAGGACGATTAATTAATTTTCCGCATAAGAACTCGGTTCGATTCATTCAGGTTGGGTTTAAGTAAATTAATAATTTGGCTTTTCTAACTAAAATGAATTTCTAACTAAAATGAATTTTTAAGAAAATCATAAGGTTTAAAAGAGGCCGGTTTTTCGGGCGTCGGCTTCCAACGGGCCGCGTTACCCCCAATTTCCCTTACCCAAAACCCGGGCCCATTTGGTCTTCGGCTTGACCCACTCTTTTTAAATAATTTGACCAGTCTTTTAAATAATTTGGCCTTAAATAGAATTGGGTTTAAAATGGAGTCATTTTTATAAAATAAAATTGGAAACGGTCACATTGCCGAAAAATGGGTGGCGAATCAAAATGTTTTGTAAGATCAATTTATCGGCATCGTAACTAATAACATGTTTTGTCACCACTGTTCATCATAATATCATTTTCCGAAACTAAAAGGAACGTTTTTCGGGTCGCTCGGGGGCAGTACGAAAACAGTCACCCATTTATGACATGAACCAATTTAAACTCAATTTTAATCTGTTTAATTTTCATATTAGGCAAATCGTATTTTTTGTGTCAAGATCCATTTTGACACCCCTAATCAACCGATAAAGTTGTTCATTTATTAACAACTTCAACTTGTTTTTTATCCGGTATTAAAGAATAAGGTCTTTGTTAGTTATATGTCCTATGGTCAATTTGATTGATTATATTTTGGATATAATATTTCATGTAATAAATATTTTGTTATTAATAAAAGGGAATTTATTTATCTTTTATATTCTATTGATTGAATCTTGGTAAAAGATAAAGTCTACGAGACAATAATGCTTTGCAAAGTAAATTATAATATGGTGATAATTATGAGTTTTATTTTGTATTAAAGCAACGTCTCTAAATATTCCTGATTAATGTTTTTCTCATTATTGGAGGATGATTAGAGTTGTTGATACTGATACATGTTGTGTTTTTTCCTTAGGGAAGCAGCTATTCTCATAAGCTGAGATATATGTGATATCTAAAACTAATATATAGTGCTTGTTATTTAAACAAGTCCACTGAATTGAGAAGATATATGTGATTCTAAAACTACTATATAGTGCTTGTTATTTAAACAAGTCCCACTGGAATTGACCTGCATGAGAATTCCCATATGCGAGAGTTTATAATTATCTGTGTCTATAGGAATACTCAACTAATTGGTTTGCGTTAAGTGATCCTTTTTTGACTGAAAATTACTAAGTTATCTTGTATGAGGATGACTTTATGTTTTGATTCTTCGCGTTCAACCATTAATCATTCCATGAATAATAAGTTAATGAATTTATTGGATATTATAGTAGAACGTATAGGAGCTTACATGTGAAATTAATAGAGGGAATTCACACCCTAGGGTAAACTAAGGGGAAAAAAATGTTCTAATGTTCTCTATTAGTAATTGATTAAGAAATTTCTAATGCCGCCTAAGGTAGAATGAAATAGCAAATTAGATTTTGAAATTTTCAATTCAACTGAATCAACTAGCTAAGATTTAAGAAAACTAACATGATTTAAGTTAAAGGCAGACGCACCTCTTATGCCTAATTAGAACTAATCATTAATATTAATGATGAAAAGGATATTTAATTACCATTTGATAAAAATTCACTGAAAATGAAAGGTTAAGTCAAACACCACTTTGACTCTTCTCAATATTTAAATAGTTCATGACATGTCTATGTTGTTATATAATCGTTACTTGAATCTTCAAATATTTAATTAATTAATTTAATTTATATTTGTTGTTCAAACTATTTGGGAATTTAGAAGGTCACCACACATAGGAATGGGGATATGAAAAGTTGAAAATTGGAGAAGAGAAAATCGAATCAGTATAACTTGATTACAAATTGTTTTAAACATTTAAGGGCAAAATTATTTATAAATTTATATTTTATAATTAACCATTTTTACCTAAATTATTACAGTATTGACTTAAATTGATTATATGGCCTAAAAAATTTATTAAGATTAAAATTTTTAGATTAAAATAAAAAAATTAATATTTTAATTATGATTTAGTTATTTTAAAATAGATTAAATAAAATAAAGCAAATTGATTTAAATTGAAAATTCTGTTACTATATGTTTATTATTTATTTATTTTTTAAATTGTTTAATAAATATAAATAGGAATATAATATATATATATTATATATAATAATATATATATATATTGTTATTAATTTATTTATTTAATAAGGTTTTTAAATAAGTAATTAAAAAATATAATTTATTTTATTACTTAAGGTTTTCGTACGTTATAAAATTTAAGTTATAGTCAAAATTTAGCAATGTTGTGCACTAGCCCAAAAAACTAAAACATAGAGCGTTTGAGGAAGCAAATATCATTATATACACTCTAATACTCTTAACCCATTAAAATACTTTTTAGAAGGTTTTCAATTGTCTTATTCGTATTGGGACATCATTAGAAGTCGCGATACTTTGAGACGCTTTTATGCGTTTGCGAACCAGGCTTAATTGATATTTATCAAAGTTTTAAGAGTGCTGTTAAAAAAAATATTTTTTCTAAATAATTTTATTATATTTAATCGTTTAAAGATGAACCCCTTATTAATATATTAGTTATAATTTATTTATTTAAAAGGTTTAAATAAGTAATTAAAATTAATTTATTTATTACTTAAGGTTTTCGTATATAAAATTTAAGTTATAGTCAAATTTAGCAATTGTTGTGCATAGCCACAAAACTAAACATAGAGCGTGAGATAGCTAATATCATTATACACTCTAATCTCTTAACCCATTAAAATAGTTTTAGAGTTTTTCAATTGTCTATTCGTATGGACATCATTAGAAGTCGGATACTTGGACGGCTTATGGTTTGCGACAGCCTAATTGATATATCAAAGTTTTAAAGAGTCTGTAAAAAAATATTTTTCTAAATAATTTTATTATTTTAATCGTTTAAATGAACCCCTTATTAATATAATTATATTTATTATAATTTTCTCCTTGTATTACTGAAATTGAAAACCAACAATCTTATCATTTCGATTTTCATTTTTGATATAGTTTTTGCTGGTTTAGTTTAATGATAGTTGCAATATTTTTGCATAATGATTACACTTAAAGTTAACCATAAGTGTAACATCAATGACACGTGAAATGAAATAATAAAAATAGAATATTACACCTTTTTTAAAATTCCACGCAACTACACATGCATCCATTTATAACACGGCAAAAAAGCACCAACGGTTCACGAGTGTTTAATATGAGGAATGGCGCATGGACTTCCAAATGTCAATAAAATCGGACATACAAAATTAAAGTTAGGCAAATGGTAGGTTATAGGTACGACCCTTTTAAATAGTATACTTGATGTGTCAAATTTTCAATCATTCACAGCCACTACTTTTTCCTTCGCTGTCATTACCATTTTTTTTCGTGTGTCGAGACGTGGAGATTCTCCTTTTCTTTTTCTCAAATATAAACAAGCAATATTGGATTATACTTACATAAACAAGCAATAGGGTATCATTCGCTCAAACTGTGGATATTCGCATAATTCGGTTCAAACCAAATTATACTTATATAAACTTAGTAAACTGTTCTTTAATATAAAAAATCGAATTGAATTAAATTAAAATTTTAAACTTCGATTTAATTTTTTAATTTTGACTTAATTCTTAAGATTTTTCTGATTTTTTCAATTTAATATTAGATCTAATGACAAAAAAATATGAATTTTGACCTTTTTTTTTTTTTAATTCTAGCCATTTTTTTTAATTTTATCAATCAATACTGTGTATTTAATTTTCTGTATCAATTCTAGCATCTGTTTGTCTTCTGTCAATTTTATGCTAATATGACAATTATCTCTCACAAGTGCGCCTTATAACATTCAATGTCAATACCAAGTCATATATCTACATATACTTAAAAAAAGCCATTTTTATCAAATATGGCAAGTTCTTTTAATTTTATCAAATAATACTGTGTATTAATTAATCACTATCAAATGATTTTGTTATATTTATATTTATTCAATTAAATAGTTTATCAAATAACTATATATATGTATAATGAGATTAATCAATTAGAATTCAAATTAGAATTCAATTTCACTTAAGAGTCTTCTAAAAATATTATTTTTAAATATACTGATAAATATACATGCTCTCTTAACAATGGAAAGTGAAAGGGCAACTTGAAAGATCATATGATCTTGATGGGTATAACCAGTAGATATCTTCTTATTGTGATTTTTTAAAACTTCTTTGATTTTATACTGGAAATGGTAATAATCAATATAGAAAAATAAATTTTGAGAAGTTAAATTCTATATTGATTAGTGTATTTAAAAATAACATTTTTAAAAGACTCTTCAATAAAATTGAATTCTAATTGATTAATTCTATTATACACTTAATATACACAGTTAATTAATAAGCTATTCAATTAAATAAATATTAATAAAATAAAATCATTTGATAGAGATAAATTATTATGCGATATTGATTGAAAAATTAAACGAACTTGTCAAATTTAATAAAAACGTTAAAGTTCAGACTTTTTTTAGTATACGTAGATATATGACTTGACGCGGATATTGGATATTGTAAGGCTTACTTATGAAAGATAACTGACAAATTAACATCAAATTGACGAAAGACAAACGAAGACTAAAATTGATACAGAAAACTAAATACGCGGTATTGATTGATAAAATTAAAAGAATTTGCTAGAATTGATAAAATGGTCAAAGGTCGGCTTTTTTTTTTTTTTTTATTAGGCCTTTATATTATATAATAAAAATCAAATTAAATTTTTAATGAAAAATATCTCAAAACCGAACCAGTCAATTCGGTTCCATTTTCATTTTGACCCGAATTATGTTTACACCTACATATCTCATACATAATAGACACGTTTCAAGTTTCATTTCAACTTGCAAGGCTGGACCACATCACTTCATCGTTGTTCTCATTTTGTTGTTATGGCTGCTTCCACTTGAAAGTGCTTTCAGGTAATATTTGTACTTCATTGTTCTCATTAATGTCATTCTTCTTCTTCCACATACAAGTAACGATTGTTAAACATTCCGTGCCATAGAAGTACCAGTGTAAATGGGCAAAGCTCAGGGCATAGCACTCTACATTACAGTTTGCTGCATTTTATTCATTATATCCAAAACCATTATTTCAGTCCTCCTTTATCAGCGATGGAAAAGAAAACACTTGATATCTGAAGATGGCTTCTCAGGTAATGCTAGTTTTGTTTCTGTTAAATTAAAAAATATATATAAATAATAAAGAATGGTTAACTAGTTTCGGGATATTACAGGAGGGACAATGGTTATGTTTAAGTCTGCATTGGAGTCTCAAACATGTGATGTGTTGTGGAAGAAGACATTAAATCTGAGCAACAACGACATCATTGGCTCTGGAGGCTATGGAACTGTTTATAAAATGAGCATTAATGAATCCATGGCCTTTGCTGTGAAAAGACTAAACAGGGGAAGTGCAGAGAGAGATAAAGGTTTCCAAAGAGAGGTAGAAGCAATGGGTGATATTAAGCATAGGAATATTGTCACTCTCCATGGATATTTGTCTGCTCCTCACTACAATCTACTTATTTATGAGTTTATGCCAAATGGAAGTTTAGATGCAGTTCTACACGGTATGAAATAATGATTTTTCAATTTTTATCAAATTTTTCTAGAAATATGTCGCTATTCCTAATTGTTTGATTTATGCATTTTCTTTTTTTTTTTTTTTAAGAAAAAAGATGTGCCTATTGAGCCCTTTTGTGTTGTGGTTCTTCTCGGGCGTCAAAATTGACAATGACGTAGGAATATGATTCACTTAACACAGAAATCAAACACGGTAGGCTTAAATTTAAATGAATTCATATCATAAGCAGGTGATCCATATATGACCCTATATTAAAAAGATCATGTCACTGATTGACTCATCTATCCTCTTATTTAAAGACAAAAATATAATTTCTCACATAATATATGCATTAAGCTTGTCAATGTGTTGTACAGGTCCTATTTTTAACATGTATATAACCCATTTAATTAAATTTGGTGAAATTTTTTTGACTTATATATGACCCATTTAATCAAACGGATTACATATGTTATGTTCGTGCTCATTTAATTTTCATGTGTGTTCATGTTTAAATATTTAACACAACGTTAACAAACTTGCTATGAATTTATGTTTGCTCGATTGAGAGAAAAAAAAAAAAAAAACTAAATGTTGTTACTCCTTATGACAGGTAGATCAACGAAGAACAAGGGTTTGGATTGGCAAAGCAGATATAGGATAGCATTAGGAGCTGCAAGAGGAATTTCTTATCTGCATCATGATTGCATCCCACATATAATCCACAGAGATATCAAATCCAGTAATATATTGCTAGATCACAATATGGAAGCTCGAGTATCTGATTTCGGTTTAGCAACCTTAATGGAACCTGATAAGACTCATGTTTCAACATTTCCTGCTGGAACTTTCGGATACTTGGCTCCTGGTATCACAATATAAATATATACATATACTCCATTTCTGCTGATTCCTTAACTAATATGCTAAATTATGTTCTCTTTTCTGCAGAGTACTTTGACACTGGGAAGGCGACTGCAAAAGGGGATGTTTACAGCTTTGGAGTTGTTCTGCTAGAGCTTTTGACTGGAAAGAAACCCACAGATGAAGCATTCTTTGAGGAAGGAACCAAGCTTGTGACCTGGGTGAGTAATTCTGAAGCAGGAACTAGTTTGGTATTTGCTATTTCTAATAGCAGATTTTCTCCAGATTTTGGAACAACACGTTGCAAAGATATCAGGCCATTCAGCATTGCTATTACATTACAAGTAGCAAATTTTTTATCAAAACTAATAGTAATTTTCTTGGTCTAATCAATGTTAGCTTCTTCCAATAGAACTCTTCTGAGTGTCCAAATCTGATTTTGGAAAAAAAAAAAAAAAAAAAAAAAAAAAAAAGTCTAATCAATGTTAGCTTTCTTCCATAGAACTTTCTGAGTGTCCAAATCTGATTTTGGAAAAAAAAAAAAAAAAAAAAAAAAAAAAAGGAAAACTCTCACATTTGGAGTTCTCACAAAAAAAATCAGTTGGGCCTGTAGGAAAAAATTCTATTATAGGTAAGTTACATTATTATGAGCCCAAACAAAAAATTAAAAAAAAAAAAAAAAAAAAAAAAAAAGAAACTCTCACATTTGGAGTTCTCACAAAAATCAGTTTGGGCCTGTAGAAAATTCTATTATAGTAAGTTACATATATTGAGCCAACAAAATTACATTTAATTTTGACTCAAAATTTACTACTTGCAATAGCAATGTCAAACAGACAAATGCGTATTATATTCGTAATATATGATTTTCATAGGCCTATATCAGTTTTACACCCACGTCTATATTCAATTGGCTAATATATTCACTCCAACTTTTGGACCAAAATATACACTTAACAATAACAGTATAAGACATACCTCTAATGTTAAGTCAAAGTCTTGAATAATGGATATTTCACAAACAGTTGTGCTAAAGTTGAAGCCTGGAACAGGTAAAGGAAGTTGTTGAAGATAATAGAGAAGAGTATGTACTTGACAGTAGCCTAAAGTGCTGCCCAAGCGATGAGATTAACAATGCCTTCAGAATTGCATACTTGTGCCTTGAACCAGAGCCCTCTGTAAGACCTACTATGGCTGAGATTGTCAAGATGCTTGAGCGAGTTAAATCAGAGAACACTGTAAATGATTCTTAATATTTGTAATTATCAGTAAAATCAGTTAATACATATTCATGAACAAACATTTTCTTTCCAGCGAATTACGGTTAATATTCTTTTTGTTACATCAAACATGTTTTAAAAGATATATTCAGGTTTGAAACCTAACCTCCTATATTGCAACACAGATACTTGAGCACTAGCTCTCAGCTTAATGAATTAAAAAGTGAGTGAAGAATTTCACTGAATGAGAGCTATCACTATCTTTCATATCGTAAAAATATATACTACAGGTAAAATCAATTAGATAAAGACACTTGTTTCCATTTGACAGCAAAGCTACAAATAAGATAACTAGATTTATACTAAAAGTCAAGTAATCAATAAAATAAATACGAAACGAAGTAACATAAGCTTTGACAAACTAAATACCACAAGGGTATAATATAAAACTTAAGCAAACCATGTCATGGTGTTCACTTGAGAATTGTTGCCAGCCCGGTGGTCACTGAAGCTTTCAATGAAGGAGAAACTGAAGCATCTCCGAAAAATACATCAAAAAGTGCAGAAGCAACATTTGCGGACTCTATTGTAGCATCCACACTAGATGGTATCCCATCTGAAGAGACACAGATCTGAAAAAACACAAATTGAAAGAGCAGCCTGAATTAATATGCAGAAGGGGAAGTGGCAAAAGATAACAGAACTAAAACAAATACGTTTGTTTTGCAATGGCTACCGAATTCAGACTTACAAGCAATTTTGAGGGATCCAACCATGTTAAAAATATGAATGTTCCTTTCTTAAGAGCCCGATCTTGAAAAACACTACGAAATGCGGACAAAGCAGATTCATCAACTAGAGTGGGTGCTTTGATTCTTGGGGAGATGGCATCATCCAAGGCATCCCAAAAAGTTTTACCATCAACATCTCTCACCAGTACAATCTGTAGTGATTTTTCTAAAGCAGCTATATTCATGCAAAATTGCATTAGCAAAATCATCCACTCTTGCCCTTCCAAACCAGTAAACACAGGGAAGACATTTTATACCTTGAAAAATTGAGCTGAAAAATGCTGCATTCCCATGGATCTCAGCAGTTGATTGCCCTTTCCAAGTATCCAATGCACTTAAGATGGACGGATTAACATATAGTCCAGCAGCATACACCTTCACACCAATGATAGCAAAAACCTTCTCTCTATACCCTGAAATTTTTCGCAGATAACTAAAGTTATTAATTCAAACAACACATGATTCTACTACTCACGACATAGAATTAACACCCAAAACTACAAAAACTGTCTTCCTATATCCTAAGATTTATTGCAGGCAATTAAAGTAATCAATTCGTGTGAGAAAAACTTTCAAGCAACTCGCCAAGTACGTCCAATTACGGAAGTACTTATATGTTAAATTAGATACCAATTTGCATAATCATTGATAGAAAAATCCAGTCAGAAGTCTGCTTGCTGAAAACTGTAGAAACAATCAAATGTTAAGATTTGAATCATGTTTCCTTTTATTAGCAAGGAAAACAATTTCCTTCATATTAAATCCCAAAAGATTAGTTTCCTGTAATGTTAAATACATCATACATTAGCAATAATAACACAGTAATAGATACATAGCTGGTATCTTGCACCATATGGATGCTTTATATGGTAAACCCATAGATACTTCCTTTCTGGTACCAAAGTTCTATAGAAAAGAACAAAAAAAAAAAAAAAAACTGAATTAGATTAACCAATTTAGCCATTAAAATCAAATTGATAGAAAAAAAAATCCAGTTTCCAGAAGGTCTTGCTTGCCTGAAGAACGTAGGGAAACAATCCCAAAAATGGTTAAGATTATGAATCCCATTGTTTCCTCTTTATTAGCAAAGGAAAACCAAAATTTCCTTCATATTTAAATCCCCAAAAGATTAGTTTCCTGTAATGGTTAAAATTAACATATATTCATACATTTAGCAATAATAACACAGGTAATAGGATACATTAGGCTGGTATTCTTGCACCCCATTATGATGCTTATATGGTAAACCCATAGGATACTTTTCCTTTTTCTGGTACCATAAAGTTCTATTAGGAAAAAGAACCAAAAAAAAAAAAAAAAAAAAAAAACTGGGACCAGTTCAAGTTAATGATAATGAACTTGAGGGCATTCCCTTGGGCAAAACTTAAAGATTGAAAAAAAAAAAAAAAAAAAAACTGACCAGTTCCAAGTAATGATAATGAACTTGAGCATCCTGGCAAACTTAAAGATGTCTGAAATCTCACATTGGTAGCAGGTTCCTCTGTATACCCTGAACTTCCAACTGCAGCCGTTACAAAAGGTTGGCAAATAAATATCAGATTTGTTTTTTATTAAAATATAAGTAAGAATAAAAGAACTGTGTTCGCGTAGACCTTTTCCTTTCATATACTTCCCAATCTTCTATATTAAAATCTATAGTTAAGACTTAGAACTAGCAAGATTTTAAGCAAGCTTAAAGCTGATAACAATCTAAGCATTTCGCTCACTGTTCAGGTTCTTTGCCAATTTTTCTTTCATTCGGTGATGGGAAAAAAAACAAAAAGGAAGTAGCTTCCAACAACTAGAAAATAAGACATGGAAACTATTATCCTTTTTCATGTTCCAACTCAACAACTGTTTCAATTAGAGTACAAAATTAGATATTTTATCATCAAAACATCAGCATGAATATAAAAGCTAAATTCCAATGTTGAAGTTAAAGAAAGCAAGGTAATGTGATTGCCAAAGCAGCTCACCTAGCCTTAAACAAATATAGACCAAATGGTTTAATGCTTATTTTCTATGCGTTGAAAATACATGCTTAACATGTATTAACTGACAATTAGGTTATTCATTGACAGCGTAATTTAAATTAACTAAAAAGCAACTTCCAGAATAACTTCAATAACAAAAAATATATATCTCTGTGCTCATTTGCTAGGTAGGTCAACTAAATAAATATTGAAGACTAGACAGGAGCTGCACTACAAGACACGCATACCACCCAAATAACTGGAAGAATTAATGCAGTAAACTTAGTGACAAGGACACAGATACTTGTGTGGTCAGCAGGGTCTTCCACATCCCAATAGCGAACAATGAGGGAAAGGAAAAGGTTGTAACTAACGCTATCACAATAAAACCCAAGTTCTGACTTTGTTTTCACACACCTCGGTGCTCCTCTTCTTGGAATTCTTCAACTCCCCCAACCGTAATGGCATCCAATTTGGAAGGAAGACAACATTTTTCTTGGAGCCAAGCATTGTAGTTTCAACAATGAGATAAATATCCGAGAATTGCCTAGATGCAATAGTTAAGTCTTCCCTTCAGTACTCTCACGTTTTGAAACCTTACTCTACAGAGGTGCTTTGCAGGAGAAAATAGCTAGTTCTCATGGCCAATAAAAGATGAATACTTAAAAACAACCAAACAAGTTTAAAGATATTTAAAAATTGGTGCAAGATCAAGTCGCATAATATTTGATGAAGGAAAGTCTACTCAAGCTTCTTCATTTTGGAATATGCACCATTCTGTTGCCTTGTCATAACAAGAGAACTTCTTGAATCCCTGACCTTGAACCTTCATTCTACCATCAATCTAATGTTTGGCTTTCTTGAAAATAAATTTTCATTGTTATAAGTCAATGTCATTTGATTGATTTTATCGACATCAAGCCAACCATTGTCATTTCCTACATTAAAATTTATGTTACACGGTTTATACAGATTACAAAGTTGCAGTAAGAAGGCTATGGAAACTTCTCTTCAAATTTTTGTCATCAGGAGGAACACCTACAGTTTTCCCAACTTATCAAGGATTTGTTAAGTTGATTTTCAAGTGAGAGTCATATTGTGGAGTACGTAAACTGAGCAGGTATAATTCATAGTTTCTCAGTTCATTATCTCCACCAAAACTAACATTCTTTCAGCCTCTAACTCTAAGCACACATGGGTTCCTAAAGGTAGGCCTATCAATGTATAGCACAGAACTTCAACTTTGAGCTGATGTTAATTCACCACAGAAAACAAAATAACTAAAAGATTCCAATACTTATCAAAGCCAATCAAAACTGATGGATAAAGTAAACCAAGACTGAATGGACATAATGCTTCGAATTTTGTTTTCGCCTTTCAGAATTCAAACTTGATTAAGTGCCAAAATTATCACCAAATTTCTAAAGAAGGCATATTATTCAAAAGAGAGCCACATTTCTTCATTTTTGCATAACATTTTTTGCCAAGATTAACAAAACCCTTATTCTTCCAACAATACTTCCATGCAGGGGTACAAAACATGAAAATAAGTAATCATGGAGCGAGTTTTGAGAAATTTACCTGAAGAAGATGAAGAAACTTTCAAATAGAAATGGGTATGATTTAAATTGTTCTTGTGAAGGGGTAATAAAGATAAGGTTGAGAAAGAGTGAATTTTGCCAAATGGTGAAAATGGGTTTGGAGGCTTTCTCTGAAAACTAATTCCGGGATTCGAATTCAAGGTGGCAGGCCACATTGATGTACAAATTTTCCCAAGCATGCTTTAGTTCAACTGCTCAGTGAAAGAATGAAATGGGAATCGGTTGAGCAAATTAATTAGTTTCAAGTTTTTGTCTAACAGTAACCGTTCAAGGAGCGACTATTTGGTCGGTTGGGCCCCTTTTAGTGAAATTTGTATGGAAAATTATTTCTAAGTCCCTGAATTTTTATAAAATTTATTAATTTATCCCTACTGTTCATATAAATTTCTTAATCCCTCACATATTCATCTGTCTCCGTCTTTAGTACTTCCGTCGAAAAAGTGATATTTTTTCAGTTAATTTTACATAAAAGACCCAAATATCTTGTTAAAATATTATTAGCATTTTTAATTAACTATCTCTGTCTCATTCCCCGACGTAGCACTATCTCTCTCGCCGAACTCACCCCTCTCGTTGCCGTACAAAAAGCCATATTCCAAGCTAATTTCATTTGGGCTTTGTTGATGAATTTTGCCTCTTATGTAAAAGCTAGATCGGAAAGATGTATAAAAAGTTGGATTGTTGTGATCCAAACTCAATGGTAGAAGCACTTTATCACCTTATTACCATGAATAATCTACATCTCGAAGAGGAGGCTTTTGTTGTTACTGCTGCAAATCCGACTTCTAAAGCAACAAATGGGTTTGAATACCCATTTGTTTCATGCATCAAATTATTTTGGCTTTTACATCATCATCTTCTTTAACAGATTCATCATATAAACTAACACTAGATGTGCTTAACCTTTTTCACTTAGCTAGATTTTCATTACTTTCAAATCTTCAATTTCTTTCACAAACCCTAACCATACAATTCTATTAATTCTCAAACTACATAAACAATAGTGCCAGAGTTGGTGGCTGCATCAAGACACGTTTGTCAATACCTCCAAGCTTATAGATGAGATGTCGATAGCAGTGGATTTGCCAGAGTCAACCAGGCGATGTTGATGCAAACCTTCTTCTTACCTATTATAAATTTCTAAGATTGATCTTACAAAAATAAACCATTTTTCTCAGAAAACTAATCATCTTTATCAAGAAAGGAGATGAAGAGCAACAGTTTAATGTCTGAATAGCCCACTAATTCTTAAACAGTGAGACTAGTATATGGTGTGGAGGTGTAGGTGGAGGGCCAATCCTAATGCTGGTTCAAAGATTGAGATGAGAAGAAGAGAGCGGTAATTTAAAATGGTAATAATGTTTGTGGTTCCTATATAATAATAAGGTTATCTGGGTCTTTTTTTATATATAAAATTAACAAAAAAAAAAAAAAAAAAATATCGCACTATCAGTTTATCAAAACATTGAACTAAAGGAAATTAAAAGAAGAAACAATTACCATGAAGAACTTGGACATGTAAGACCCGTTCTTCGTAGAGGAAGAGAAATGCGAAGAGGAGAAAAGAGACTGTTGTTCTTGTGGAAAGATCCATATATAGTTGTTGAATGGAACAAGAGACATAGAACCTAAAGTTTCTCTGTTAACAACCATTGTTTGACAGTTGTGGATGAATCGTAGGTCAAGGTCTTGGTTTTGAAGCAGAGCTTTCTAACCCAATATGACTGTTTTTTGGGACGTTGCTCATAGAGCAGAGGCGGAGGAGGAGATAGGGGCCTTGACAATGGAAGACAACCTGTACAGATTGACGAGTTTGTTTGTAATTGTAAGATTGCAATCCACGCTTAAACTGGGGGAGTGCAATTGGGTTTTACACCGAGAACCGACCGAGACACTTTCCTAAATCAGTGCGTTTTAAATTTTCCAAAACGCAACTTGTTAGCTCATTTGGCAATCAATGATCTCTCCAATCCTGAAACCTTTGATTCCATAGTGATTACAGCGCTCTTGTCGTTTGTTTCAATCGTATTGCCATTGATTCCGGCGAAGGAAACGGTGATAAGGCGAACGAGGCAGTGACGATTTTTTTTTTTTGAAGTTAGGCAGTGACGATTTTGGTTGTGTGATAAAGTGTTTGGGGGGTTTCGATACTTAAAACGATAAGTTTTGAGTTCGCTAACTAATGTTGTGTCGGCTAACTCATGCAGCACCCGCATTTATTATATTTTAATCTTAATTTGGGATAATGTTAATTTTGGTGCTGTATTTATCATTTTTTTTTCTATTTTGGTGCATGTACAGATAATTGTGACAATGAAATGTCTAAATTTCTTTCTTTTTTTTTTTCAATTTGGTGTCTCTTGATAACATGGACAGCCGAAATATCTAATGAGACTAAACGAGATCCATAAATACATGTGTGGACCGACATTTTTTTCATATAGGGTGACAACATGGTAAAATTAACGAAAAGAACTACTTACCCTAATTTATTACCTCCAAGTATCTTTTTCCAAAAACTCTAACCTAAATCAAATAGATCTGCAGCCGTCAAGTGATGAACAAGATACTAAATCGGAAAATATAGATAGTCTGGATATAGAAGTATTGCGAGCAAATATTAAGAAAAAACTTGAAGCAGATTCAAATGCCTAACTTATGGTAATACAACTAGCAGAGAGAATTAATGAGCTTGTTGAAACTGTTGCTCACTTAGAAAGTGCAGTTTCTTCTCAGGATGCTCTTATAAATTTACTAAAAGTAAAAACAGATGAGCTTCAGGAACATATTAAGACTTTAGAAGAGGAGTGATAGCCTTCAGGATATTGAAGACTTTTTTTTTTAGTTCGTGATCCCCTCCCTTATAATAATTAAGTATATCTATATATATGGAACCTTTTCTTGGACGTTAAGTCAACGTCTAAATAGGAAAATGGATACTATTCTTATTTAGATTTATGTGTCAAATATCCTTTAAGTTACTATAATTATAAGAGTTTATAAGTAAATTCTATTTTAGTCCCCAGTGAATATTTATCTTCTATCATATGTCCCCTTAGTACATGCAATTTATGTCTTGTTTATTGTTGAAAAGAAAAAATTATTTTGATAGAAAATTAATTTACTAAGGCCGAATCAACAAACAGTATGGGTCCAACCCATCTTATTTATTTTGAATGTCAAAAGAGGAGGAAAAAAAGGGGGAAATTTTCAAATTTAACAAGTAAAAAGATAACCTTTTCCAAAATTCTATAAATAGCCTTACCTCATTCCATTTGAGCCTCCATCATTCTCTTCTCAAGGTAAAGCCTCTCTCTATAAGGTAATTGCACTCTCTCTCTCTCTGAGTTCATTTTGTATTTCATTTTCTTTTTATTTTGTTGAGTGAGTTTTATTTTATTACTATTATTATTATTTATCTTTCTTTTGCTTGCCTAGCCGAACCCCTATACTTGTATATATATGTATTATTATTATTATTATTATTTTACCTAACCGAGCCCTTCTCCCCTATATATTTGTTTATTGTTTATATTTTTTTTTTTTTGTTTTTTTCTTTTCTTAACCTATCTAACCGAATCCTTACTTAGGCATGGCAACCGATTCGGTTCGAATCAAAATCGAACTGAAATTGAAATCGTACTGTAGACGAATTAGAACCGGACCGGAATCGTCGGTTTAAAATTTTAAATCGGAACCGGCGGTTCAAGAGTTGGTTAAGGTTCATGTGAATGTTAAAATATGAACCGAAACCGGCAGTTCTGGTCCGTTCGAACCAGAAATTTTTTATTTTTATTTTTAAAATGATAATCATTTAGCGTATTTTATACATCTCTAAAAGTCTCAATAATATTATACTACATGATATACTTTACTTAAGAATTTTTTTTTAAATACAATTTACTTTAAAAGTTAAAAATCTAAAAAGTAAAATGGTCGCTGAGCAAAAAAAAAAAAAAAAAAAAAATATCACTTTTTTATGGAAGAACTAAAGAATTAAATGGAAGCATATATTAGGGACAACGGAATAATTTGTATAAACAGTAATGATGAACTAATGAATTTTGTAAAAACTTATGGATCTACAAATAATTTTCTCAATTTTTAATCCACTGAATCATAGAAAGCTAATTAAGCTATAATGAATCGAAAAAACTTATCTAGATTAGGTCCATTTCCCCCACTTGTGGAATAAAACAATGAAACTAAAGATTTTCTAAAAAGTATTCTGATTTTTTTTTTCAAGTGTATTGTCAGAAATACCATCATTTCAATAAGAATACTTAATTTCATTAGTTTGGTCATAAGTGAGGCCATGAATCTAGTCTAGATAAGTTTTTCCCACAATGAATAAGGAATTTAACCAAATTTGACTGAATCAATTTGGCTGAATTAATTTTTGTATTAATAAAATCAATTTTAACATTCCTAGTTAATCAAAATAAGACTAATGATTCTTTCTAATTTTTACTAATTAAATATTTTTTTCTTCAGGTAATGTGTTAAATTTACTTCAAAATTAACCATTAATCGAATACTCAAAGATATAATTTTGTAGGCTAAATTGACAATCAAATTTTAACATTCCAAACCAAATTAGTTGATTTGGCCGATTCAACTAATTTAGCTGATTTGGCCAAATCGAATGTGCACCTTTAACTATTCTTGTATATTAATTTTCTAACGTAGGTTGCACAAGTATTTTAAAAGTCCAATGCACCAATACTGAACATCAACACTTATTAGACATATGTTGAACATTTTAAAAATGTGCCGAACTTTAGTTTTTTAGAAATGTCCCTCGTCATATTTGAACTAGATAAGCAATCACATTATCACACCGAAAATTCAATTTATTACATAAATGTATACCAACTTTGTTGAGATAATAATAAAAAGGAAAATGACCTGGTAAGAGTAACTGAAATTCTGAGATGGAAGACTTTAAAATAGAATTAATATTGATTTAGTGCCACATCATGCTAGCTCAACAACTTCCTCTCTCTCTCTCTCTCTCTCTCTCTCTCTCCTGTCCACACACAATAAAAAACAGCATTTAGCCATAGATTTTATCGACGGATGAAGTTTATTGATAATTATCGATAGATTAATGTAGATGTGTTTTGGACACCCTCATATTAATATAAATCAGTTACTAAAGGTGCAGTTCAGAACCAGTGACGAATCAATCAAAAATAAGAGGTTGCACTAGCAGACAAAGGTGATATTAGCTCACTTTTTTCACCATAAATCTCTCTAGAAGTTAATTTTGGCACAA